CTCCCCGGGGCTGCCGGCCGCGCAGCCAGCTTGAAGCTGCTGGGCTTCTTCGCAGGTCTTCTGGCAGCGCTCTGTGGAAAACCCTTGGTTAGCCCGTCTTTCAGGCCCTAAAGGCGTCATGTGTTTTCCCAAAGCTTGGCTGTGCTGCTCTTTGGATGCAGTAACGCTGCTGTGCTGGTCTGTTTTTCCCAGGAAGGGCAGGAGAATGTAGAAATCCTCCCGTCTGGAGAGCGTCAGCAGGCAAACCAGAAGCGGATTACCACCCCCTACATGACCAAGTATGAGCGAGCCCGAGTCCTGGGCACTCGTGCCCTCCAGATAGCGTAAGTGTTTTGCTCTGTGTCCCAGCTGTTACCGTGGCTGGCCTGCGGGCTTCTAGGGTCTCCCATCTGTATTTAAGTTGCTTTTGTCTTTCCTGGAAGTTTCCTGGAGCTGTTGAAGTTCCTTATGTGATCTCTGAGCTAGTGGACCACCATCTGTGCCGACACTGAAAAACAAAGCCTTTGAGTGCTTAGTCCCATGTGAAATCTCTGTATCTTTTCCTAGCTAAGGTTATGGTACTTGTGTCTAGAAAGGGAGGTGTTCAGCAGTTGTAGTGCACCTTCCGATGTGATAGGTAAAAGAACAGGGATGTGATAGGCTGATCCTGATTTCTGCCTTTCATAAGATGAGCCAGTCTGTGCTGGAAAGCTCGGAATCTGCTAGCAAAAGCCAAGATTTGAGGGAGGAAAGTTCCAGAATGTCTTCAGTTGATCTCATAGGGCTGTAGGGATTAAGAGTAATGATCTCAACTTCTTTTTAGACTGCAGTTGTATTGCAGCAAGCTATATGTTTCTACAGCATTTGGATCAATGGGACCTCATTTGTAATTGTACTTAAATCTTATTTTAAGTGCTGTTGAAGCTGGCTGCTCTCGACATCTTCCATTTACCTTTCTGGATCTATTTGAATAACGCATGTCAGAAGACTGCCCCGCAAGGAAAGAGGTTGTTAGGCTGTGGTAAAGTTTGTCTGAAAAGGCATCTCTGAGTCTTATCCTAGTTATGTGCACTCTCTCAAAATAATGCTTCTCCTTCATATCACTTAGAAGCTCGTAGGTGGTGATCAGATCTTTCCTTAGTCATCACTTTGCCAGGCTGTTCTTTGCACAGTCAACACTCTGTGAGGCTGTTTTGTGCGCATTCCTTCAACTGGTAGAAGGCCAGAAAAATGGGAGAGATGAGATGGGTCTGTGCCAGACCTTTAATCCATATGCTCTAGCGCCTGATTGGGCTTCGCTACTTACTCTGCCTTCAACACCGAATCTAGGCCAGCAGCAGCCCCCAGTGGCCTTATCCACACATAACGTGACCTTCCTTTGCTGCTGTTGCTTAATGGGACAGATAATAGTCAGCCATGTTGGCTGTGCTGTTAAACTTCCTGCGAAGTGCTTTATTTTTTTCCTGGAGATAGTGTGTCATAAAACCAGCCTCTTACTTTACCCCAGGTAAAGCCTGGAAAATAAGATCAGGTCAGGAAGTAAGAAATGTGGTGGAACTGTAGATGGCATGCCCATTTTATAGTGTTTCCACTCTCCTTATTGGATTAATTTTAGAACTGCTCTTTCCTTCCTCACATTTACGTACAGTCCAGGGGGACTCCAGGAGGATGTCGTTTTGACCAGCTGTGAAGCCCCAGCTGCAGTTGAGGGACAGGCCAAGAAGAACATTCAAGTAAAAGCTCAGTCCATAGCCACTTGCATCTAGTGAAAGCAGTCCTGCCACAACAAGATTGGAGTGGGGGACATTTCTTCCCAAAGTGGATAAAAGTGCAAACCTTGGATTTGCCAAGGTGCTGTTCCTCCCTCCTACTTTGTTGAACTCTGGGTGAAAGACATAATAGATAACGTGCTTAGTTATCCCTCTTCCATCTCTGCGTATTCTCTATTTGATTGTTATTATTTCCACTCAGGATGTGTGCCCCTGTGATGGTGGAGTTGGAAGGAGAGACAGACCCCTTGCTGATTGCCATGAAAGAACTCAAGTAAGTCTCAGATTTTGACAGTGGGTGTCAAGCAGTCCTACTCATCCTAGCATGTAGCGGCTTATCCTATGCAGGTTGTGCACTCACTCTGTAACAGTGAGTATTACAGTCGCTGTCCCCTCTCCCCTGTTGGGACCGCTCCCCAGCTGCAGGTAGCTTGGGTATTGCTGTGTCCCATGCTAGGAGCTCTTGCAAAGTACTGATTATTAGCAGTACTTTGACTTCTTTTACTTGGAAGTCCAAGTGGTTTTTATTCCCTTGAGAACCCACGTCTCCATCTTTCTGGAATCAGTTTAATTCCCTGAAAGGAGCTGATGCAAAGCAGCCTTCCTAACAAACCTATGTTCGAGTGCTGGCAGAAATAAAATAAAGGTCAGGTTTGTGATGTGGAGGCCATGTTAAGAATGTTTTTCTCCTGCACCCTTCCATGCTTGGCTTACTGTGATTGCAAAAGACTCATCTCTGCTTCCTGCCTCCAGGTTAGGGAATCTTATCTGGTTACCAGAATGTGTTGCATAGAGATGAAATACAGTCATAGCCTTTCTGAGAGGCAGCTTCTGGATGACTACTTACAGGCCCACCTTTCCACAGCAAAGCTCCCTGCTGGTCCACAGTTCACCAAGATGGTCAGTGACCTACTAGATCATGTGCAGGTATTTTTTCAAGCAGAGCAGCTGGACTCCTCTGCTGATTAAGTCCCTTTTCTTGAATTGAATTGTCCCTCTGCTCCCACAATTTCTCAGTGCCTTGCAGTTGCTCTTGCAGACTTTACGTCCTTATTACAGCTCCCTTTGCCAAAACCACCTTAGGTCCTGTTTCCTGTCAGATCTCCAAGCTCAGTCTGAGCTGTCTGAGTGCGAGCTTTGGGAAGCAGTCAGGGCATGGCAGGAAATACGGGGGCATCCTGTTCTGTACCAAAATTCAATCGTAATACTTGGCATAAGGGAGAAACAATTGCCCTGAATGTTTGTGATCATTAAAGATGCTGTATTACTTTTCAAGACTGATATGGTTGTAAACCTGATGCCCTGGTTAGATTCCAAACTGCCTAATTACATTCTGCTGACTTAAATCTGCCTCCAGTAAGTGAAATCGTGTTCAGTGTTTTCTTGTTTTTAATTAGAAATGCCATTAGCAGATGTTGTGTTCCACCTGAGTTGTAGCTCGTTTTGGTGGCTGAATAGTACCTATTTCATGTATCCTTCTTAATGTAATTGATACTTTGGATGCCTAGAGTGTAAAACACTGTAAATGTCATTTTTTTCATGCATGTTCTCAGAGTTCTGCTGCTTCTGTAGTGGCTTGTGGGGAAAATAGTTTTTGCTGGGTTTTTCATCAAGCAAATAGCAGATTTATACCTGGAGTCCCTTCTTTTTTTTTTTTTTCCTCTGTACCCTCATTAAATGTTTGGTGTTGGCTCATAGTGGGTTCAGATCACCGGGCTCAATTTCTGTATTAGCAGCAGAGTGCTGGCCTTCTGCAGGTCTTTGATTATTTTGGGCCTTAAGGGTGCTCAGTGCTTTGCACCTACAAGAGAGGGTTGTTGGGGTTTCCCCTGCTTTATAATACAAAACACTGGTGCTACACGTTTTTCCAGTTAAATCTGATGAGCTTCCTGAAGCCTGTAGGAGACTACCTCAATTGCTATTGCCTGTGGAAATGGTACAGTGGCTTTGGCATTTCCATTCACTTCTCTGTCCTCCCTTCAGAGCACGCAAGATCCCCATAATCATCCGCCGATATCTGCCAGACGGGAGCTATGAAGACTGGGGGGTGGATGAGTTAATTATCACAGACTGATCAGCCTGGAAAGCCATTGCTTTTGGTTCTTCCTTCCACAGCAGATGTTTCTATTTTTGTTTATATTTGTGTAAATAAATTGTAAACTTCCCTATTTTGAGCTGAATGTGGTTTTTTTTTCCCTTCTTTCTCATCTCAATCCTACACGCCCAAGAATTCTTACTTCTCTCTACCAGCTTGTTTACTATTTTTCCTTCTGTGTCAGTCTACATGGGCTATATTAATAAGCTTAGGGAGCAAAGTGCCAGGCCTTTCTTGCAATTTTTCATCTGAGAAGTCCATACCTTTCAGCTAGACTGAAGATTACAGGAACTACTTCCTCTTCTACCACCACCCCTCCCCACTTATAGGACCAGTAGCCGATTAAACTACTGTTGTACAAAAATGATCTTGCAGGTACTTTGGCTTCAGAGACTCCAGCTCTCCACCCCTATCCCTTCTTAAAATGGGTAGGAGCTGGAGTGCTGAGACACCTCTGTTGCTTCCCTGTAGACAGTTGGGCCTTTGTGCCTGAGCAGGTTGCTGTGGAAACCCCCAATTTCCTCTCTGGCCAGAGCTGGCTATGGGGCTTCTCAGGAGTATCTTAGAGCAGTTTTCATCAAGTCACCTATTGTTTTCCTGCTCCTGCTGCTTATCAGTGGTGGGGATCCCCTTTCAGTGGCACTGCCCCAGCCGGAAACGTGGTCGCCGGTTGCAGTCCCCACCAGCTCGGCAGCTGTAGGTTTGGTTGCTGCACTTGCTCCATGTGTAGCCATTCTCTGGCATGCAGTTGCACTGATGGTCCTCGGTGTGTGAGTGCTCTCAAACCATCTCAGCTGCATGTACTCCAGTGGATCTTATAATGGCACAATAGTTAAACCCTAGACTTTCTTTCCTTAATCTGCTGCTTAATAAACGTTGAGCGATTTGTCCCCTTAAGGCATCTACGCTCTCAATTTTTGATGTGCAGGGGGATAAATTAGACACCCCCCCCACACACACACTTTTGCTGCAATTGAGAAAAGTTGGGTGTATGTGTTAAAATCTACAGGAGCCTCTAGCCAGCCACTACCTGGTTTTAATTTCTTAATCTTTTATGCACTCCAAGATTCTTGCCCTGCAGGAGGAAGACCTGAGCTCTTAGGCAGAGCGCATTGAGTATGTCTCTAGAACCAATTACCTTTTTATAAGTGCCCTTGTAATTTGTGTTTTCTTTTTTTCTAGTGGAAAAAAAGGGAGAGCACACCTATGGTTCCTGCTGCTGTCTCTTTATTTTGGTCCAGGAAGAATCTTTCCAACTAGGTCATGTTAAAACTTGTGCTTGTTTAGATAGCCTGTGTTCTCCATGCTGTGCATGTGTTCAGTCCCTCCTGATGATTATCCACATCCCAAAGAGAATTTATATCCACCTGCTGGGAACTCACCTGATATAACCAGCCATGTATGCCATTCTTAGTGCTCCCTGTAAAAGCACTGGTTCATCTCTGTTGGTAGGTGCAGGAATATGAAGAGCGCAGGAGGGGCTGGTTTTGGAGGCAAGATTGCAAGAGCTGAAGGGGTCCCTGGACAAAATGACAGGTCAAAGGGAATGTGGAGCTGTTTGCAGGTGTGGGAAGGGGGTCAGCTCTGAGGACCTTGAGCGCTTCCTGGCCCAGGCCATCCTTACCAAGAAAAGGTTAATTTGCTGCACTGTGGCTTTCAGCCTTCTCCCCCCACCCTCCATGGAATCCTTTAATCACGTTGGTGCGGTGAAATTTCAGCCCTGAAATGGTGCCTTTGTGCAATCGTTTTGGCGTCCGCCATGGAGTGCGGGGGTCGTTTTCTTGTCCTTTTTTTTTTTTTTTAAATGGCTTCTTTTTTTCCTCCCCGCCTCCCCTCCCCAGCCTTGCATCTGTATCAGATACGATTAAAGGGATAGGGAAGGATGCCGGGCCAGCTCCTGCTAGGCTGCAGGAGGAGTGATTAACCCCTCTATTACCAGTGGCGTTTTCAGTCCTGTCTTAGTTGTGATGAGACTCCTAGGTGAGATGAGGCATCCCCTTCTGCTAGAGAATGGTTGAGGCAGAACCCACTCCCTTCCTTAATTTGCTTTTTGAAGAGCTAGAGGATACTTGTGTCAGGTTAGGGACTTTCTTTTCCCACTCTTCTGTTCATCCACACACGTCCCTTCTTTTTCCCAGCCCCGTGCTCAGCTCTTCTACCCATAATGCCACCATGGCTTCCCTACTCCCCCACAGGTGCTCCCGACTTGCTCAGCAGTGCAATAGTCCTCTGGACTCTTCGCACAGCCTGTAGTTTGGGCTAAGATTTTGTGTCCTCTCCAATGAATGGCCACAGTTCCCTTTTGCATTGTACTGTTTAGCTTGGCATCACCATCATTAGAGCTCACTAAGCCATTCTGCTGCTGATGCTCTTGGCCTTATATAGGACTTCATCCAAACAGTGCTGAGAACTTTAAAAAGCTTTGAACATGTTCCATGGTTCCTAGACGTCCTACTTGCTCTACTCGCTCATAAAGCATCTAGTGAACACAAATTCACTGGATAAATCATATGCCTCTGCTTTGAAACCTTTGGAATCTTTTTAGTCATTTTGGAGTCTCTGTATTAACTAGGACCCTAGCTAGCTACCATTGGCCTTGAGAGATGTTGTTCTTAAGCAGAGCAAAATACGCTATACGTTTTCTTTCCAAACATCCTCAGGTAGTCTCCCAGGGCCTCAGTATAAACAGGATGTCTTCTTCAACAAGAGGGTATATATATCTATTCTTGAATACACTCTGTGTGCGTGTGTGTGTGTGCATGCATGTGTGTGTGTGTGTGCACGCGCACATTCAAATTTGTACTTGTGGAAGGCCAGGAGTTTTTGATATTCTACAGAGAAACTCATGGTTGCTTCCAAAAGACTTCCAAAATATGTGTGTCCATGTATGCGGGGAAGGGTTTTTTTAAAGGTACATGATCTACCACCTGGAGATGAAGAACGGAGGAGGTAAAACCCAAACTCCTATTCTGGAGAGTGTTAGCAATCACACTAAGAAATTCTTGGGTGAAGCACATGCAAAACAGTGCTCTTAATTGCATAGGCTGAATTTTAGCTGAAGAACAGAGATCAGCGTTGCTACATTTCTCACTGAAGAAATCATTGGAGGTGGGGTGTGAATGGAGGATGTTTCATCTCCGGGAAGGAGTCTGGTAAGCCAGCCAGAATTTTGCCTGTGTCCTCTCGATGATGGGCGGAGGAAAGCTTGCTTCCCACACAGGGTCTGTGTGGTGGTATAGAGACACATCTTATCCTTATTGGGGGAAAAAAAAGAGAATTTCAGGAAAGAGGTCAAAAAACCCCAGACACATGAAAATGAAACTTTTAAGTTTATTATTCCATATGTTTAATGCAGAGTTAATGGTGCTAGGACAGCATAGAGACTGGAGAAAGGGAGGTGGGGGAGGGAGGTGCTACTTGCATAAATAAGGGGACTGGGCTGGAACAGGTTACATGCATACAGGGAGCAAACATTCTACATGATCTTTTCAGACACCACAAGGAGAAGTCATCCATAGCTAAGGGAGGCAGGAAGGCATCTGACAGTCATATCAGCAGAGGGAAACAACGGCACAGATCACAGTCCACATTTGGTCAAGGTGTTTTATCTTTCTAGACTGGAATATCCATCGGAAGGTCCCACAACATGTCTCTGCGATCAATTGCTGGGAGTGATCTTTTCCTGCAGCAATATTTGTGCCAATTCACTCCCTGGCATGACAAACTACCCCAGTCCTGGAGACGACAAGGGAGAAGTAAGCAGACCGTCCTCAGGTGTTGGGCTGAAAAAAGGGGTTGATCTGACCGTGACAGCTGGATACTTCCAGTTTGAAACCCAAAGGGGAAAATGAGTTCTTTTGCACCTCACATCGGCTTATTTTCTTTACAGTCATCCAAGACTGGGTGTGTATTCCTACCTTGCTTTTAGCTACAAGAATATCTTTCCATCCTCAGTGAAGGTAGGAGGGAGGTGTTGACAAACTGGAATACATGATGAACAAACGAGCAGGGGTGCACACCCCATTAGCCTGAGTTTGGAGTAGGGGTTCAAAGTGAGTATTGGAATCATTTCTGAGTGTTGGCAGGTGAGATTTATGCCTGTAGTTTTGAAGGCAGTAGTAGCTTCCCTGCTCCCTCCACTTTTCACACAGGCACAGTCAGACATTGGAAGAGCAAGGACCAAGTTTGGTAGGAGGTTGTTTGGGACACTGAAGAGGTTAGAAAGGACTGGGACGCCAGAAGTGCCAGACACAGATGAGCGATTCAGAATAATTGTAAGAAAGGAGGATTCACCCACAGCACCTTTATGAGCCACAAGGCCCTCCCCACCTCTCCCGTGCCTCCATATGCAAATACATGTGCACACGCAGGCATGCTATGATATGAATAAAGCTAAAACCAACAATGCAGTTCCTAAATCAAGTGCATTGTTCAGTCAAGCCTTAAAATC